TTTGATTGAAAAACTGGAAAAAATCCAAAACAGTTGTGTAAATATCTACAGTTTTCAAGTATGAGATGCATTTATCAAGATAATGCAAAGATAGATGTAATATTTCATGGCTATTATGATATTTATCAATGGTAGTTAGGAAAATTTGATAATCAATTGATGATAAATACTCGAAATTCTGTTGTGAGTCAAGAATTTGAATTGTTCCGAGTACATATTTAAAATGGTATTCAGAACAAGTTGATATATTAAAAATTGCATTTAAGGCATCAAAATTTACCTATTCCGAACTATTTTCTTTTGAGCATATGTAGTTGATGAATGAGAAAACTTTAAAAACGTGGGTTTTGTCGGAAACAAGTTCAAATAAATGTGTAAATATCTTGTCGTAATCATCTATTTCTTGCCCAAAATATATTTGAAATGCAACAAATATTTCATTCCTATTAAATGTATTGTCATTGGTCTCCTGCATTTTTGGAGACTCCTTATACTCATCCCACATTGAAATAAATGAATTTTTCCTTATATATTAAGGATCATCAATATTTGCATATATATGTTGTTTTAAATAATTAAGAAATTATTTTTTTAGAACTTGTGAATTTTGTATTATATATTGATTCAATAATCCAGGGAAAAACCGTATCATTTCGTCGTCGCTTAAGGTAACATTTTCATTGCCAAACTTAACAACGTAGGACACCTTATCAGGGAAAATTGAATTTTTTGAAAATCCTAATATTTCGGCTCTACGTTCATTAGGTCCTTTTGAAAGTATAGTTAGCTGATATTCTCGAACAAATTTATTATTCTCTTCGAATTCTTCGGACGATTTCCATACTGGTTCTTTAATAGTTTTATATTTTACGAGATATTTGACACTTGTATCATTGTCAAATGAATGATCCATTATACATTCAATCTCATACTGATTAGTGCCATCTTTTCGCTTTCTTCCTCTTTTTGACATAATTATATTTAAAAATGGTTTACAAACTTTACATGTCATATTTAGAATGATATATGATTAGTATATTAAATAAGTGATATCTGATACTTATAGCAAATGAGAAATTAAAATTAATAAAAGTTAAAAAAAATAATATAATTAATAATTATGAATAATTATTACCACAAAAATACATACTGTATACATTTCAAACACTTTTAACATCAGCATTATTTATTTACCTGATCAAAACATAATTATTCATGTCTCATGCATTAGAATAACTCTATTTATTAGTTAATTAAAATGATGTTCATGAACAAAGTTATATATAATTTTCCAAGGTCATATAAGATGAAAATCAATTTAATCAAGACAGTATTATATAATTGACTTCCACATATATAACTGATCAGTAAAAACATTAAAAAAATAAGTATTATTGAGTATAAGATCGCATTTATTGATATCAAGCATTACTATTGAATAAATGATATAAATCCACACTGTAATAGTATCAAATAACAATTTTTACATATAATTCAATAAGGGACATATAGGTTATATGTTATACTAATACATAAGAAGATCAAATCTTAAAAAATAGCAAATTGATAAAATGCGATATTTATTTCAGAATAATAAAGCTGTTTGTATATATGCAAATAGTACTTTAATATAAAGACTATTTACAATGTGTATTCATAATTTTATAGGATAGAAATACATTTTGAAGATATTCATAATATATTATTTGTAAAAATATATCATATATCATTAATAACTATATAATATATTTATACAAATATTGCTTATTTAAACTATGTGAATAACTTAGTTTAAAAGCTATCCAATCCTGAGATTCGCATTGTCGTCTAAAACCGCCAGACGACAATAATAATACCAGTTAGTATACATTAATTTGGTACCAAGGGTCTACGCCCCTCGGTCCCCAATTAATGTTTTTTGATAAAATAAACGATATCGTAAATTTACAAATAAACGTTATCAGATATTACAGGCGTGTATATTTAAAAATAAAAAATTAAAAATTATTAAAATAAATTTTATAGCTTACATAACTTTTGCAGCGCTTCCCATTGCTGTGCTTCACATAATAATTCATAATCTTCACTATCGCTTTCTTCTTCATCTGATTCATAATCATCGCCATAATTAATGTTGAACAATTGAGACAATTTTGATAAAGCTAATTTTACTTTTCTTCCTTTTGTATCATATGCTACTATAAATTTTCCATCATGTTTGTAATCAAAAAGCTTAAACTAATTTTTCCTTTACGCGCACGTATTTGATAAAATGCATTTTCTTTAGGAACGAAGAATAAGTTTTCGAATTCGTGATTGTTATAATTCTTGATTTCAATTATTCTGCTCATTTTACACAAAATAAAAAAAATAATTTTTTAAAAATAAACTTTAAAAAATTAACGTTAAAATTTTTTTATTTATTTTTTTATCATAGATTTTAACACCCAGAGTAAAAAAATAATTTTTAAAAAATAAATTAACTCAAAATTTTTTAATTTCTGTATAAGGTCACCAAAAAAGTGCGGAAATTAAAAACCGCAGTTTGAGTACTTTCTGAGAGTCTGTTTGTCAGAAAGTATACATTTGTAAACTTTCTGACACTAAAATTTTTTGGTCCTTTCAAAGTTTTTGACAATGTCAAAAAGTATACATCATGGCTCTCAATTTTCCTCTCAAACGGCGGTTTTTTAAAAACACTCAATTTTTCATCGACCTTATACTAAATTTTTCATAAATGATAAAATTAATTTTAGGGTATATCTAACCCGATATCTAACCTCATTTCTAACCTCGCGAATTTTCTTATAAAGTTGCGATAGTTGAATTCAGTAACTGAGCCTCAAGGAAGAAAACATCCTTTCCGTCTTCGGGTAACACAACGGGGCATTTATGATCATGTGTAGAATACATATCAATCCAAAACTCTCTATTATTTCCTGATAACTTATAATATTTAATATTTGTTAATGGCGTCGATCTAGTATGACCGATAAATTCATTTTCAACCCCTTTATCGATATTTGAATATAAGATGACTTGTTTTCTGTCCCATACATTATATGTTATTATTGGTAATAATACTGTTCGTTCTTCTCCAGGTTTATAATTAAATACATTCATGAAGTCTTCATTATACTGAGAAATTTTAAAACCTATCCTAAAATCACTTTGTCTCTTTTCTGCTATTCATTAAACGGCGAGTATATAACAAATGTGCATGTATGTGAATCATCTATTTGTTCAATAAATTCATAATGAAAGTCTATAATTGCGGTTGAATTCCTTCTTCTAATTTATCAAGATACACATTTAATCCTAAAGCGTTTTTGTTAAATTTCTTTTCGAAAATTTCGTTAAAATCACTCATGCATTCATATAATGTTGTGTCGTCTTTGAAATATTTATATATGTGAATAGTTTGCTTAAATTCTTGGGTTTCGTTTATAACAACAACTTCGAGCTCAAATTCAACCTTTCTAAATCCTCGTGTTATATACATACTTGATAAACCAATATATTTTTCGTTTATATTAACAGACCAGTCAATAGGTAATTTAAATGTGATTCTATTTCCATTTATTTTAACATTTTCGTCTTCAGAACTGAAAGCAACTGTTAAAGGTACTTGTCTATACATTTATTACAAACAAAAATATATCATTTATTCTTTCTTCTCAATGGAAAATGGTCTTCGACCTTCATGAGGCTCAATGAGCCTCTTCAGCCTTTTCCTTCTCCGCCTTTTCTTTAGCCTCACGTTCTCTTTTTGCTTTCATTCGCGGGTTCTTCTCTCTTCCTGCAGCTAATGCGGCTAACTGCTTTTCACTTAATTTCCTTTTTGGTTTTTCTGGTTTTTCTGCTGTTTTTGATGTCTTTAGTTCTGTTAATATCTGCTCACGAATTTCTTTTTTGATGGCTTCAATATCTAATCCCTGACTCATTTGATTACCGATAAAAAATTCAAAATTTAAAAATTTTATTTGAATTAAATATGAGCCTATCAAAATCTGAGAGACAATCGATTATATTAAATGATGCAAGAGGAATTCCCATCTACAGTAATGTCTAATAATTGTTACTCCATCTGAATTCAAATGCGAATCTTTCCAATAATTGCAGTTAGCACGCATCTCTGCTTGAACTCCATATTGAAGATAATGAATGAAATCAATATATTGTTTTGTATCAGCAAGGGGTGCAGGAACGGATTGATTCATTTAAAAAATGAAAAAAGTGAGAATTGTAAATAATTAAGGTTAATATTGAATAAATAATACATCAAACTAGTTTTAGAGTTGATAGTAAGAAGCGAAGAACACTACCAGTAAGATACAGCAGTAGTAGCTGCTTCATGCTGCATTGAGTATTGTTGAATAATTTGAAGTAGTGGTTTTTGAAATCAGCACCACTATGAGAGCACTGGCGACCGAAACACCACTAGTAAGATTGTGTATTAGAAACTGCTTCATGCTGTGTTGAGTAAGCTTCGATATCTTTATCAGACCACCTTTAAATTAACCACTCACATTCTCACTGTGGTCCATCTAAAATTTGTAAACTTTATGACATAAAATTATATTATATGCAGGATCCCACCTATTACTTAATCTTTTTGGAATAAATGTTTTATAATATTTATCGATTGATTGTAATTTTTTGTATAAAAAAGTTTTTTATTTATATTAAAAATATATTCGGTTAATGATATTATCTTATAATTTGTAAATAAATCTAGTAATAAAATAACTTTAATAGTTAGTGTCACTTTTTCGAAAATTCTGGTTTTTTCGCCACAAAGTGAAAGCTTTTCTCGAAAGGAGTTTACAATTACAATACAATAGGACAATATATTGTAATTGTAAACTCCTTTCGAGAAACGATTTTCGAATGTGACATTATGTCAAACAATTAAGCAAATTTCTTATCTGAGTACATGTATGCAGGGTGCCATGAAAAGACCCTGCATATATGCACTCAGATCGGAAACTTTGTTCACGATGTCACATCGTGGAACAAAAGTGGACAATATTCCCGATCTGAGTACATGTATGCAGGGTGCCATGAAAAGACCCTGCATATATGCACTCAGATCGGAAACTTTGTTCACGATGTCACATCGTGGAACAAAAGTGGACAATATTCCCGATCTGAGTACATGTATGCAGGGTGCCATGAAAAGACCCTGCATATATGCACTCAGATCGGAAACTTTGTTCACGATGTCACATCGTGGAACAAAAGTGAGAGCAAACCAAACATTTTAACCACATTATAAGTTTATGTAAGGATAAAAATATAAATTCCCTGTCCTTGCACAAACTGTTGCTCGCTACGAAGTTTTGCTTTGTGATTGCCCGTGCAGAATCATTTTAAGCACATTTCAATAGCACAGAGCACATATAATATATGAATAAAACAATTTTATAACCTCATAATATAAAAATAAATGTTTTGAGTTCGCCATAAATTATGCATTCCAATTATTTTGGATCTATATACTTATTCCTAATAATATATATTATAACTCATATAGTACCCCTCATATCCACTGTGATAATATAAAAAAACGATTTCTGTGTTAAGATATAATTTATCTCACATATCAAACTATGGATTTAACCTATAATAACACAAGAAACATATAATATATACATATGTCTATATGCGCGAGTATATAAGAATTTCCGAAAAAGTGACACCAAAAAGCGACACTTTCAATAGGGAGTAACACTTAAAAAGTGACAATTTAAAATTCACAATAAATAAAAATAATAAATTTTTTAGTCTATTAAATTATTCTTTTCTTTGAAATCCTCTAAAAATTCTTCGAAATGTTCTAAAATATAATCTGGAGAATTATAACAAAATTCATTAATTTCTAACATATACGTATCTAACAATTCATTTGGAATTTCAAACGATCTTAAATATGTAATTGAATTTTGTATCTTCTCATTTATTTGAGAAAGTTTTTCTTCAGCATTTTCCAATAAAAATCTTAATGGATTCAAATTGGCTTCTTGATTCTGAACAAAATTTAATACTTGGTATAAACGTGATTGAACTTCTCTTTTCAATTTTGTTTTATAATCTGTCAATCGAGGCTCGCAAATTCTAATTGAAGGAATAAAACCTGTTTGAAGTAAATCGTTTTTAATACGATAAAAGTAATTGGGTGCAACTTCTTCTAAAAGATTTTTGACAAAAACATCAATTCTTTGATTTTTAACGCAGCCAAAATCGTGATATTTTATCTTTTTAAATAAAGATTCAGAAACGTTATTCACAACGGTTAATTCATTTGGTCTGGCAGCGGCTATCCACATCATAGCCAACAATTCCTTATACAAAATTCAAAAACTTGGGTGCAATCAGAACTGATTGCACCCAAGTTTTTGAACTTTCTTGAGGGAATTAAAGGGTGAGAGATTTATAGTCTATCTATATATCTCCCACCCTCTAATTCCCTCCCTGACAGCGGGAAATTTTGTCTGAATGTTAAACTATTCAGACAAAGTTTCCCACTGTTTGCGAAGGAATTGTTGGCTATGATGTACTGATTCATGATCAGTACATCATAGCCAACAATTCCTTATATAAAGTTCAAAAACTTGGGTGCAATCAGAACTGATTGCACCCAAGTTTTTGAACTTTCTTGAGGGAATGGAAGAGTAAGAGGTATACATTATGAATATATACCTCTTACCCTTCCATTCCCTCTCTGACAGCGGAAAACTTTGTCTGAATGTTAAACTATTCAGACAAAGTTTCCCGCTGTCAGCGAAAGAATTGTTCCATCTGGTGCATAGAGTGTGAATCTATGCACCAAATGGAGCAAGTCCCTCGCGAAATTGCCCAAACTTGCGTCGCATTTCAAAGATTGCGACCCAAATTTTGGCGATTTCTAGTAGAGATGGAGTATTTTGAGTCACTGACCTATATGCAGTGGCTCAAAGGGCTCCATCTCTACTTTGAAGCAAGGAAACTTTCCTCGAAATTTTGATAATTTGAAGAAAGTTTTCAAGCAATTAACAAAGGATTACTCGCTATGAGGTAAAAATTCTAGATTTTCACCTCATAGCGAGAGCTTCCCTTTCATTGCTTGAAAACTTTCCCCAGCTTCAAAATTGGGGAAAGGGCTGTAAAGTCGACTCCGATACCAGCAGGTACCAGAGTATTTAAAAGAGAAGCCCTCGTACGAGTTTCTATGAAGACCTTCTCATTCAAGAAGATCTTAATAGAAAATCGTACGAGGGCATTGGAAACTCACGTCTGGTACATGTTGGTACCAGAGTGTTTGAGATTTGAAGACTCTGGTACTAACATGTACCAGAATTTATGATGAATTTAAGATGGACCATTATAAAATGGTAGCGGTTTGTTTCAAAAAATTTTAGATGAGATTTGCATAGATATAGATTATATGATTTATACATATGAAAAATAATATATAAAAATATAATTTTGAGATAATTATGTAAATAATATTTTAAATATTTGAATTTGAGGTATAATTTTATAGTAAAATATATTATAAAGAGTATTTATATAAATATTGTAAAATAATATAAGTAATAAAAATTGAGACCCCCTCCCTGTTTTTGATGTTTTGTCACTTTTTCGGTAATTCTTATTGTTTCCTATATGCGCACATGACAATTAGGTCTATATTAGATAATTTTTCGTTCACAATAATCTTATATATCTGACCAAAAACTCAGATTTGCCTGAGAGTTACTGAGGATAATCTCATATGTACCCTCTATCTTCCTGCTTAACCATAGGCTCTAAGTTTTTCATTTTTATATGTATGCTGAACCTCGGGTATTCAATTTTTCCCAACGGTTCAGCACGATACCTCCATCTTAACACTTTTGAGGAATCTGTTGAGATGATTTAACTTTCCAGCTTCTCTTGCCATCTTTGTTGCATTAATGTAGCCATCCTTATCTCTACGTAAGACTTCTATACCATTGTAAGTTCCTTTTGTGAATGTTTCACCATTAGATTTATTCGTGAATGTTTGTGCTTTAAATGACATGTATTTATATTTATATAAAAAGTTAAAAATAAAATAAAACTAACTTTATTTTTTATTTTGTGAAAATTCATGAAAATTCATGAGGGTAAAAATGAGGGTATAAATCGGGTTAGATCTACCCTTTTCAACTAAAAATATTTTTGACGTAAATTTCATTGACTAACTGACTGACGGCACAAAGTGGCTTAACGAAAACATTAATATATAAAATTCATGAAAAGTCATTAGGGTAGAAATGAGGGTAGATATCGGGTTAGATATACCCTTTTCAACTAAAAATATTTTTGGTGTAAATTTACAGTATTTATGAAAACATTTACGAAACATTAACGATAAAATATATTTCTGTATTTCATCCGCTACATTATTACCTAATTAACTTCAGACATAAAATATATTTAGTTCATAAAAATTTTTTGATTAATTTTGGCTTATTTTTATCCTTCCAGTAATCCATTTCGAGTTCCGATAAATGTGTAGGGTTCGATTCTCTCAAATTTCTAGAAGGAATTTTATCATCCACGCCTCCATCATAAACGACAGTGTATTCATCTTTGTCTTCATCATAACTCACAATTTTATTAACTATACCTCTTTTCGCTTCATCAACCGTCTTAGCTAATCTTCCATTTTCGCTTTCAACTAATCGAAATCGTGGATAAAACGCCACTGAATGATCAGCCGCTTTAATTAAATAACCATTACCCTGTGAGGAATCAACGATATAATAATCATCACTTAACTGATTTCTTACCTTTTCATGTGGTTTATGTTCAAGAATGATTCTAACTTTAGTTTATAGATCCAAGGTGAAGTCATTTTTCTATCCCTGGGATAGACGATACACCCAAAATGTCACTTTTTTGGGATTCTGTTTTTTTAAGGTTCTCGCTGGCGACCCCCACGTTCGTCGAAAAAAAATTGGTGATTGGGGGGTCGCCAGCAAAAATCAATTTTTTTTTTTCGACGAACGGGGGGTCGCCAGCGAGAACCTTAAAAATAAACCTCTGAAATTTTAAAAAAGAAAAAAGTGTGAAAATCCCCTTGATTCGAACCAATGGACTTTACGATTATACTATGACTCTTACCATTGAACTATGACTCTAAGGGTTCGAAAATTGATTTGGTGATAATATAAACTTTAATGAAAAATTAATCAGATCAATTTAGAAATATTTATTTCATAATATTGAATGAATGTATAAATCTAAATAGTATATTATCAAAAAAAAATAAAAAATAAAAAAAAAATAAAAATAAAAATAAAAAATTAATAATAATAGTACCATCACCACAATTAGCAAATTCAAAAGATATATGAATTGCTATCGATCTCTTTCAAACAAACACATAGAAATTTTGATTAAGTATTTCAAATTTTTATATGAGATAAATATTGAACATATAAAATATAAAACAATTTTTAATAATAAATATAGATATTTATTTTGTAGCCATTAAAATTTCTCGGCTATCTAATAAAATTTTGTGAGAACGTAATCTTTTCAAATTTAGTATCAATCTTTGGTCTTTTATTGTTCTCTCACATGTTGCTTCTGAAGGTGAAGCGGAGATAACACGAAGGGCGATATCTGCAAAGATTGATACATTGCCATCTCTATGAGAGATTTCTTCCCAACCGTATTCTTGACGTTCTTGAATCATATCATCAGAGAAGATATCATTATCACTATTAATATACGTGTTAAATAGTGTAATAATATCTGTTATGTTTGACCCGGAATACGAAATTGTTCCAAAATACTTTTGAGATACTGCCTAGCTGCAACAAAATGGTTAACCGGCTGATTTGAACTAGATGTTACATCTGCGAGATCAAGCATAGGAGGGTCAATTGTAGCAGTTACCTGACGAATTGATCCCTCCTCAACCATATCAAGAGAAACTTCAGTCGAACCTTCTTCAAAGATAGAGTCCATATAGATAGATTAAATGTCTTCTACTGGATTAACGAAAGTTTACGTTTGTAATATCAAATGAATTAATTGCCGGAGATTCGTTGATCTGCGCTCCGTGGACGAATTTTTGGTTGAAATAATACCTACCTTTCGGTGTAAAAGCGAAGGCTAAGCACCAAAGACCTCCAAAGTCCGATCCAAGGGTATAGTTCAACAACGATCTTGAAAGGATTCCAGCAAAAGGATTGTTGTTGCTGCTGGAAAGGTATTGGAGTGCTTCAATACCCTTGCAAAGCCATACGTAGCAATCAGATATCTTGGTTTTATCTGATTCGAACGTGGAAATAAGCTTCTTGAGAATTGCCAAGCAGTCTCTTAAGAACTTGATGTTTTCAATATCAATACGCGTATATCTTGAAATTTTGTCTTGATACTTGATAATAAACATACAAATATTATAATCATAGATCCACCTGGTGGATACATGCTTTGGACAGAGAGCTCCGATGTCTTCAACATGGATTCTACAAAGAGCTGATATTTCGTGGATATGTTTCACAATTGCTCCTAATGCTACGTCTTTTGTTGTCATATATTGATAACAATTATGAATCCTGTGGCATAAACACGGGATAAACAAGATTTTGAATAACCTTGGGTCATTTGAGTTGTAGAACGATTGATTCCATCCTTTCTGAAAACATTTCAATTGCGCTTTATTGCCATCGCAAACTACACTGCTGATCTTAACATCTCTAATGAAGATTCTGTTAAATCCTTGAGTAAGCGAGTGGATATAATCTTCAGATGTTCCACCATTCATTTGGATTGACTCAACAGGATAGGGCCGCTTGCTTTGCAGAGGATTTGTGAGGGAGAAGTCCAGATTGTGAAACTGCTGAGTCTTCCCCTCATCAATGGCAACACAGGTACAGGCAAGCTTAGCAAACTCATCAACTTTTGCAACATGGATTGAATTTGCAATTTGTATCATTGTTTGCCTTAGTTTGTCAGTTGAAATAGGCTGGTATATTTGAGAAGCTAGTTTATCAACATTGATGTTAACATTGTGTAACTGTGGGAACTTCAATATCATCGAGTCTGCAGTATACATTATAATGGTTTTAACTAGCTTTGTAAACTCTGGGCTTGAGAAGGTATTCAGAGCCAAGTTAAATCTTCCAGTAAATGTAGCAAGCTGTTCATAGATATCCCCTAACGATATAGGTGTAAGCCCTGTTGCTGGGACGTTTTGATAGTATTGATCGATTGTTTGTTGTGATGCTACTTCTCCTGGTGTGCATATGTGCCGTTTGTTTTGGATCCATTTTTTGAAATGATCCTCACGCATTTCTTCCATTGCACAGTGGCATATAGTTCCGTCAGGACGCTTTACTAGTTCATTGCATTTAACATAATATTTTCCGTACTTGTCGCCTGGTTTTTTATATCTAAGATACTGATGCTTAGTACCGACCTCAATGTCTTTATAGTACGTCGGTACTGCATCAATCATTGTTGAAATAATGAAGTGATTACTTAAGCATTTTTATTCTCAATTTGTTTTGAATAAATTCAATTTTTTAATGCATAATTTTAAAAAATTCTCTAATATACCTTAGATATAGATACATTTATTATCAATTCAAAAATTTCAATATAGTTTTGGGATGGGGAGCCCATCCCATATATTCAAATTTTCAATGATTTTGGGTTGGGATTCCCAGACCAGAATAATTTCTAATTATAATTCGTAAAAATATATGTATATCTCATTATTACATCATTTAATATATTTTTAGTTAAATAGTCACTATTTTCACAATTTTTATTATTAATTACTGAACTAAACAGGTTTCAAATAGAAAGAGTATAAAAGATAAGTGTTTTTCTACATGTGTTTCGATAAGAATTATAATAATTGATGGTTTTTACAGCCAAATTTATTTTATATTATTTAAATTTCAATGAAAAAAGATAAGAATTTTTTAATAAAAATTTTTTATTAAGAATTTTTTTTGTAAAATTGACACTGGGATGACGATAGGGCTGGGATCTTATCCACCCCATTCATTTGGGAAAATTGCAGATCTATACTTTAGTTCCTGGCAGTAATGATGAACTTCTTCTTTCCTCCGTTAACATTCTCTTTTGTTTTATGTATTCATCCTCCTCTTTTGAAGTCATTTCGTTTGGTTTAAATCCTGTGCTGTTATGAGTTGATTTATTATAAACATTAATGACTTTATTCATTGACTCCTCCGTAAAATCTCTTTCTTTATTTAAATCTCTGAGCGTTCGAATGAAACGATTAATGATACCTAAAATATTATGGTTATGGTCTTCAGTCGTGTAATGAGTAACGTTATGTTTAATCAAAAATTCTGTAATTTCATTACTGAGGTATGCTGAATCCTGGTCTGAAGTTAATGAAGTAGGATGATGTTCTGCCACGAACGTCTGCAAAACTCTTAAAACTTCTTTTGTTCCTTTATTTTTCATTATATACGCAAAAGCTTTTCGAGTATTAACATTAATGAAAATCAAAAATGGTGGCTTTCTTCCTTTCTTACTCTGAACGAGTGTATCAAATTGATATGCATCATGGGTTTTAGAATAAATGGGAAGGTAGTAGTCGTATGGATTAACTTTAACCTGATGAACTATATTTTCATCACAAAATCTCTTAATTTCTGTTCTATCATTAAATTCCGCATTCTTTGCAGCTTCATAGAATTTTTTAAATGACCTCCACAGTGATGATTCGAATACTTCTTTTAAAATCATTTATGTAAAAATAAATTTAGTAAATTTTAAGCTGTTCTAACCCATGCATAAACTGTCATATAAGGTGGCATATAATCTGCACCCGAACCTGTTGAATTTGTTGTGAAAGTGTGTGAATGATTTCCTGCGGTTCCACATAAAATACCTGCGCTTGAATCTACTGGGTCACTTGAAATATCATATCTATTCATTCCCTGTCTATCCGAACCTGCTGCAAGATTTGTATAACCTCTTTTTGTTATTGAATGTGAATGATTACCTGTTGTGTTTGTAGTTCCTGTATGCTTATGCGGTGGAAGGTTTGCTTCTAAAATTTTCTTTGAACCTCCTGTTTGATTTGATGAATTAGTACAGTATAAGAATTTATCTACAATCTGCTGCCATGTACCAAAACCTAAAACACTTGCGGGATTTGTTGAATTCATTGATGTATATAAAGCACCGATAGGATATATGGTTTGCAATATTTCATTTTTCATGCTTGCAATTGCATTTGTTGCATTAGTTCTAAATTCATCGAAACCATCGAGAATGTTAATGAGATTATTATATTCCACATTCTTTTGACCGGTAATTGATGATGTAATTGAATATCATTAACTGTTATTGAATCGATATTCGAAAATCTTTCATTAATTTTACCATTAACTGCATCATTTACTTCTGACTTCTTCACATAATTTTCATCTACCCATTCCTTTGCTTCTTCTGTATAACTCATTGCTTTTGTATCATAATGATTTAATTCTTCATCTACATATATTTTGTCGGTTTTATTGGCTAAATCAACAACCATATCTCTTAGGTTAGTGCACATATCTTCATCACGCATGCTTGATGAAGCAATAGCCCAATTCAATATTATCTCATCAGCTCTAATAGTTGTGAAGAATTCATGTGTATGTTCTTTATCTGCTTTTTTATCTAAAAGGGCTGGTAGTTCATATGCTTCAAAGTTTCTGACATGACCTTCGATATTCGTACATTTACTTTCTAAACTGCTAAGCGTGTCTTTTACGCTAGTGCTTGGATTCTCTAAAGGTGCACTTGAACCAAGGTCAAAGTTCAGTATTATGTCGTCTGCTCTAACAGTTGTGAAGGATTCATGCGTATGATTTTTCTCTGCTTTACTGTCTAAAGAAGTTTGAAGTGAATTTATGTCGTTATGTTCTGTTATTAAATCACGCCTTAAGTTTACTATTTCTTGATTTAACTCAGGATGCATATGATTTACATCAGCTTTATTTTTAATCGCATCTTCAACAGTTATTTTTGACTTAACCATCAAAGTAAATCTTGGTTCAACTAATACATCGTTAACAAAGAAGTATGAAGCATAAATTTCATCGTTATAATCAAATGCTTCTGGTGCTTTACCTGTTGTATCATAATTTATAACACATCTTATGTCATAACCTTCAGCACGAATGAATTTATATCTTCTTTCATTAACATCTTTCGTATTCACTTCTCTATCCTGTGTTAAATATCCATGATAGTCCGTTATAATCTGTTCATCTGAACTTATATAATGAACATGGTTTTTATCTGCTTTACTATCTAATTTCTCATTAACATCATTCACTTCTAATTCAACCCTTCCGCCAGAACTCTTATTATCATTAATTTTTTTCATTAATTCAGTAATTACATCATAAAGACTATATTCTGTTTTCGGTTCTGTAAATAATGAGTCAAAATTTCTTTTCATCATTACATCGCTGACATTAATGATATCAGCTATACCTTTTTCATTTATTCTCTTCATTAGTTCTGCAATAATGACGAATATATAATCTGTTAATTTATTCTCTTCATCAAGGGTTATAGAATGATTTGAAATCGAATCATTAACACCTCTAAATAAATCAATAACTTCAGGATACACGTTTTTAATGTCTCGAATAACCTGACCCGTATCCTCGCCACTATGTGGCTCTGAGCCCGTTGGGCTCTGTTGTTCCTCTGTTTCTTCCTCTTCGTTTATGTCTCTAGCCACCATCAACGCAGCCATAACCGGAGGGTTAGTTGCTACCTGTTCGAAAATCTGTCCGTTATGTACGGTATATCTAAATAATTTCTTTGTGTTTGTTAAAACATTTGAAACAAGTCTATTAAAACCATCTACAAAATTTTCCGTTTCACCTAATATTCTTGCAGCATCTACAAGCTCACCCATTCCCGCTTTCGACCCCAAAAACGTCCATATTGCATTTATTTCACTCTGTATAGTTGTCCATTCAGTGAAACTAACGCCCGCATTCGCTAAGTCGAAAATGAAACCCAGTGGATCGAACTTAATTCCACCTTCTTTTTCAATTTCAGCGAACTCACTAACATGAGATTTTAAATATTCTTTCGTTAAAATCGTTTTTCCTGATGTCATGCTGTTAACGGAACTATCACCGTCAAAAGTTAACGAATTCAATTTCGTCATTGATGCTTTTATTTCATACACCGCTTTATCAATAGTTTTTGGCTCACTTTCTTTAGAAGTGTATGAAACATTAATGAATGAATTATATGAATTCATGAATGAGTTAAAATCAATGATTTTCATTAATGAAGCCTTTAATGATTCATTAACTGTTGAATCCCTTAATTCAATTAATGAACTGTCGTTAATGAAAGGTACACTGCAAACCGTCGAGTTAGGGTCAAATGCCGAAGTCGGTGAAGGAGTATTAATTATATAAGTCATTAAATCATTAAGTGATGTAAATAATGTTGTTGTTTTTGATTTAATTTCTTTAGCATCTGTTATATACGGTAATTTTATTTCTGTAGTTTCTGAATTAAAGATATTCGCTAAAATGTTTTGTAAACTGTTTTGAACAGCTGTATAAACCGTTGAATTCGGAACCCTTACGATTTCACCATCCTTAATAAAGGGCATTGCACATGGCGTAGTGCTTGGATCAAATCTTTCGGGATTATAATTCAACATATATTCTAATGCTTCATAAACAGACCTATATACTGTTGTGTTATCTTTTTCAATAATTTCACCATTTTTAATAAAAGACATTGTACATGGCGTTAATATTGGAATGAATTTTTCATATTCTTTCCATGATATATAATGTTCAGCGTGCCGAATAAATAAAAGTCAGAGGGTGCAATATCAGGTGAATAAATTGGGTTTGGAACAACTTTGACATTGTTTTCCACCAAGTAATTCATTACCTTATGACTTTTGTGAACTCTTGAATTATCAAAATGAATTGCAAACTTTTGTTTTTGTTGTTTGGATTTCTCAAACTCATCAGAATTGATAATTTGAGTAAGAACATTGTCAATTAGATACTGAGCATTCATCGTATTAGGTTTTTGAAGAATATCAATTGCGATGATGCCATTCACGCCCCAAAAAACCGACAACATCATCATTGGTGTGTCAATTTTTTTCTTCGGGAATGTTTGCGGATTTTCATCCTTCGGGATCCACATGATTTTGGCTTCTGTTGCATATTGAAACCAAGACTCGTCCCCTGTTACTAAAAAGCGAAACTTCTTGGATTGATACACACCCAATATAGAGAGGAGCTCTTTCGAAGATTGGACTCTAGATTTTTTTTGAACTGAATTAAGGTTGTGCGGAACCCAACGTGTATACGCTAGTTTGTAGTTCAAATAATTGTGCAGATAATAACTGACTGTTGTACGTGGTATCTTTGTCATCTCCTCTATCCTTCTGAGTGATGCTCTTGGGTCTTCATCTAGCGCTTGAAGAATTGCTTTGATTTTTCTTTGATCCGGCGATTTTTTGTCAATTTTTATGATGGGCGCCTTTTTGTTCATGAAGTGATACATCCTAACATGATACGTTACAGTGGAATAGCTAGGAGCATCCATACCGAAGCATTTTACCAATGTCTCGTAGATTTTTTACAGTCTTTGCATTTTTTTGCAAGAGCGAGGATGTTTTCTTTATGATTCATTAAAAAATGAAAAAAATCCCGCCAAAATTTCCCGCGAAACCGCCTCTTGTCTCAAAATTCATTTTATATCCCGGCATGGCGCCAAAATACAACATACTCATCATATACATATATTCATATTTTTTATTATATATTTATAATCAGCATATATCTCCTTTAATAGTCTCATATAGAGCGCTGTGCTAAACGCACCTTTGGACACCCTATAAAAATGTTGAAAAATTGCAAAACGTTCCCACTTTTTGAGAGGGACGTTTTGCAAAATAATTTTATAAACAGATCTGGAAAGTTTCATTTCAGTTTGATAATATATCTAACACCTATATAGGAGTGCCTTTCTGATTTGACCTGAAAGAGCGAAAGTTAGTTTTTTGATTTGAAAAAAGCAGGGTTTTCATTCTGGGACTCCGAGCGAAGCGAAGGAGTCCCAGAATGAAAACCCTGCAATATAATTTTGATATGGACACAATGTAGATAGATAATATAATATCATGTATAGATCTATCATCTTCCAATAATCTTCTATGGATGAAAGAAAAAATTTTGCAAAACGTCCCTCTCAAAAAGTGGGGACGTTTTGTACACCCTCAAAAATGTTGTTCTATTTGCAAAGTACAGACCCTAATGATTACGGGACATTAAAATTACAAACTAACCTTGGTCTTCAGAATGAACCACTAGCTTTCACAGTTCTTGATTTTAGCACTATCGCTTCATTTGTTATAACAGATACTAACGATTTCATTACATTTGAAATTGATGGTATTAGTACTGAAATTCATTTTAAAGCAAGAAATAAATATGATATTGATACGTTAGAGAAAAAGATTCAGGATCTCATTGATGAAAAATTTAACGGAGCCCTTAACTGTGAATTAACTGATTCAGGAATAATGAAATTTAGTTCCGAAAAAGAATTTAAAATTACTGATATGACTCATCGAGCACGTTTATTATTAGGTGCTTATCATCAAGAATTACCATTAAAATCTTCTATTGAAAATCAAAAATATATAATTGAAATGAAATCTGCACCCTACATATGTTATGGAAACTGTTTATATGTTGAATCAAAAATAAGTAATGTAACAGGAATTTCAGGAGTTAATAATAAAAATGCTGTTATAGAATATAAATCGTTCTGTTACGCCGTTATTTCTGTATTCATGCCTAATTTCCCGATTTTATTAAGGCACGAAGGAAAATGGGTTCAAATTCAACCACACCATTTAAAAGATATGACATTTAGATTAGTTGATTTTCAAGGCGAACCAATTGAAATTAAAGCTCCTGTTCAAATGACTATAGAAGTTGATTTTTGGTCTAATATAAGAGCTAATGGACTAGATGATGAACCAGGGATAAAAATATAAATTTTAAATTAATTCGTTAAAACATATTTCAAGCAAAGTTTATATTCTGTTGAAAGTTTTGTATATTCATTTGAATATTTATACTTAAACTCAACTCCTGTAGTTCCTGGTGTTTCAATTATTCTAATATTACCGATTTTCATAAATACCGGCATTTGACCGCAGCATTCGATTTCGGGGTCGAAATAATCAATAACACACTGTTTCCCTGTTATTCTTGATATAACATTTTCTAAATCCTCCTTTGTTAAAATTATTTGATTCTTACTAATAAGATTTGTCAAAAGCTTCTTATCGTCTTTGAGTAATATTGTTTGGTATAAATTAAGGAGGTAATGGTCTACGTTATCTGAAGGATTTGTTTGAATAGTTGTGTAAGGGTTAGGGCTCAATGAGCCCGAGAACCCTTTGAGTTCTTCTTGAGCTTCACGTGAAATTATGGGCTCTAATTGAGGTGGATATTCTAACTTAACTTCACTGTTAGCGTTTGTGTTTGAAGCTGTGTATAAATTAACCGACTTAAGTTCTGGTTCTTTATCTTTCAAGTTTTCGGAGCTGTAATTTTTGATTATAATATTATTTGTCGTTCTTGAATCAACATTAAATGTAGGTTCGATTGGAACATTCACTGCACCGGCTAAGATGGATTTACTTCTCATTTTCTAGAGAATAAACGAGTATATAAGAATTTCCGAAAAAGTGACACCCAAAAAGTGACACTTTCAATAGGGGGTAACACTTAAAAAGTGACAATTTAAAATTCACAATAAATAAAAATAATAAATTTTTTAGTCTATTAAATTATTCTTTTCTTTGAAATCCTCTAAAAATTCTTCGAAATGTTCTAAAATATAATCTGGAGAATTATAACAAAATTCATTAATTTCTAACATATACGTATCTAACAATTCATTTGGAATTTCAAACGATCTTAAATATGTAATTGAATTTTGTATCTTCTCATTTATTTGAGAAAGTTTTTCTTCAGCATTTTCCAATAAAAATCTTAATGGATTCAAATTGGCTTCTTGATTCTGAACAAAATTTAATACTTGGTATAAACGTGATTGAACTTCTCTTTTCAATTTTGTTTTATAATCTGTCAATCGAGGCTCGCGAATTCTAATTGAAGGAATAAAACCTGTTTGAAGTAAATCGTTTTTAATACGATAAAAGTAATTGGGTGCAACTTCTTCTAAAAGATTTTTGACAAAAACATCAATTCTTTGATTTTTAACGCAGCCAAAATCGTGATATTTTATCTTTTTAAATAAAGATTCAGAAACGTTATTCACAACGGTTAATTCATTTGGTCTGGCAGCGGCTATCCACATCATAGCCAACAATTCCTTATACAAAATTCAAAAACTTGGGTGCAATCAGTTCTGAACTTTCTTGAGGGAATTAAAGGGTGAGAGATTTATAGTCTATCTATATATCTCCCACCCTCTAATTCCCTCCCTGACAGCGGGAAACTTTGTCTGAATGTTAAACTATTCAGACAAAGTTTCCCACTGTTTGCGAAGGAATTGTTGGCTATGATGTACTGATTCATGATCAGTACATCATAGCCAACAATTCCTTATATAAAGTTCAAAAACTTGGGTGCAATCAGTTCTGATTGCACCCAAGTTTTTGAACTTTCTTGAGGGAATGGAAGAGTAAGAGGTATACATTATGAATATATACCTCTTACCCTTCCATTCCCTCTCTGACAGCGGAAAACTTTGTCTGAATGTTAAACTATTCAGACAAAGTTTCCCGCTGTCAGCGAAAGAATTGTTCCATCTGGTGCATAGAGTGTGAATCTATGCACCAAATGGAGCAAGTCCCTCGCGAAATTGCCCAAACTTGCGTCGCATTTCAAAGATTGCGACCCAAATTTTGGCGATTTCTAGTAGAGATGGAGTATTTTGAGTCACTGACCTATATGCAGTGGCTCAAAGGGCTCCATCTCTACTTTGAAGCAAGGAAACTTTCCTCGAAATTTTGATAATTTGAAGAAAGTTTTCAAGCAATTAACAAAGGATTACTCGCTATGAGGTAAAAATTCTAGATTTTCACCTCATAGCGAGAGCTTCCCTTTCATTGCTTGAAAACTTTCCCCAGCTTCAAAATTGGGGAAAGGGCTGTAAAGTCGACTCCGATACCAGCAGGTACCAGAGTATTTAAAGAGAAGCCCTCGTACGAGTTTCTATGAAGACCTTCTCATTCAAGAAGATCTTAATAGAAAATCGTACGAGGGCATTGGAAACTCGCGTCTGGTACATGTTGGTACCAGAGTGTTTGAGATTTGAAGACTCTGGTACTAACATGTACCAGAATTTATGATGAATTTAAGATGGACCATTATAAAATGGTAGCGGTTTGTTTCAAAAAAAATTTAGATGAGATTTGCATAGATATAGATTATATGATTATACATATGAAAAATAATATATAAAAATATAATTTTGAGATAATTATGTAAATAATATTTTAAATATTTGAATTTGAGGTATAATTTTATAGTAAAATATATTATAAAGAGTATTTATATAAATATTGTAAAATAATATAAGTAATAAAAATTGAGACCCCCTCCCTGTTTTTGATGTTTTGTCACTTTTTCGGTAATTCTTATTGTTTCCAACATTAAATGTAGGTTCGATTGGAACATTCACTGCACCGGCTAAGATGGATTTACTTCTCATTTTCTAGAGAATAAACACCTTTTATTACTATAAAAATGAATAATATCTTTGATAAAGGTTTAAACGTGAAACTTGAAAATGAAAATCTTGTTGAATTCACTGAAACGGGCGCAGTTTATAAAGATGTTGAGGTATTAAATAAGAAAGCAAAAGGCAGGAGTAGAAATATGAACATCGATTATAAACCATTTACTATTTACGTTAATGATGGATCTGGTGGTTCAAATATTAAATATGCCGAAAGTAATAGAGTTTATGCGTTAAAAGGTGAAGCACCATCAATTAAAAACAGTTATTCTAATCTTTATCCTCAAAAACCAACTAATCCAGAAAGTGTGGACATGAATGACACCAAAAATATAAACAGAAATGGTGATAGAGATGGATGGAATCTATTCATAACACCTCATCTAAAAATAAAGCTTTAAAATAATGTTGGTCTTTCCCAAGGTATATTTTTAACATTAATCGTATTAGTCATTATATGAATTTCTAAATATGAACGTGGTGAAATGAGTGATTTATAAGCATCCCAGATTTCATCAAAAGGTAATGTTATTCCTGATTGCTTCCAAATTAATTCTATATCGTATTTTGAGAAACCTTGAAATATAACGAAATCAGTAATTAAACGTTTAATGTTTAATGCTAAAAACCTCCACGTTTGCATAAGTATTGCTACAGTCATGTGATAATGTCTGACTTTAGTAATTAAATTAGCTAATGGTGAATCTGGTTTTGAAACTAAACCTTTACCAGCGAAATCATCACAAACTAATAAAGTGTTTGATGGATATTTTTTTAAAAGGATATTTTGAAAGTTTTGAGAGAATGTAGTTTGTCAATCGTTTCATATCATACGTACCATCCTGCTGTCTCAAATGATGTTTATCATTAATTCTTTCCATTTCTTCCGAGGTCTTTTGCATTCCTGATTGTATAAATTCAACTATTGCATAATATTTTTTCTTTCTTCTTATATATCGTTGAAGAAAAGAAATTAATTCGCTACCTGGAACTTTAATTACTGATGCCTGAACTTTACTCATAAACGTCTTCGCTGTTGAATCCATTGAATCTGAAGTTGCTGATATAATGATTTGGTCATAATATGAATCAGAGCCTAAACGTTCAGTAATTAAAATATGACGAATTAAATTAAAAGTCTTTCCCGAACCCATTTTCCGCAATAGAAAACACACCGTTTGAACAGAACTGATAATCCTTACTGAAGGGAAGAATTAATGAACTATTGAGTTTATCAGATTTTTCATTTATTTTTTCATCTACTTCTTCAAATAAATGTTTCATTTTATTATAATTAAAAATGCAAGTCAGAAATTTTGTTAATACCGTTCCCAGTCTTAATGATAAAAGTATTAAAATCTATTATGAGCACATATTTTCACAACCGTTTAAAATAATCAATGGTGAATACATTTATGAATACCCTAAACACTGGGTTGATTATAACACTGGCGAAAAAGCAATTGAAATAAGACAGATAAAAACCATTCCTGCAGGACGAACCACTGAATTATATAACTTTGGTAATAAGAGATAATATCATCAATATGATTTACAGATTTATATAGATTTAGACACAGGAGATGATATGACAGCATTTAATAAAAAGATTAAATCTTATCTTAGGAACAGTTAAAAGGTACCGGATATCCTCAACCTAATGAAGTTGATATGTTTTATAGTTTTGAAACTAATTCAATAGAATTTCGTGTTAATTCAAATTCAAAAGCTGGTTTCATATTTGATTTAAAAGATGGTGCTGTCGGTGATGAGATTGAAAATATATACACAAATAAAAATTTTCAAGAGATTACAGGAATTAATAATGATGAATGTTTTTATCGATTTGCTCAGTTTGGAGCAGAACAGATAACATTAAATGACCTCCTGGAGTACTTACCAAAATCAATTTCCATTAAAAATGATGATTATTTATTAACATGCTATTGGCAGTTGGGTTTTTAGTGCATTTATATTACATTGGTACTAAGGCTTTTGGAAAATTTACAAAATAAATTTAATATTTTGTAAATGTTATCGGTTCTTACGCTTTTGGAAGGAGGGATGGTATTTTTGGAGCATTTATATTACATTGGTACTAAGGCTTTTGGAAAATTTACAAAATAAATTTAATATTTTGTAAATGTTATCGGTTCTTACGCTTTTGGAAGGAGGGATGGTATTTTTGGAGCATTTATATTACATTGGTACTAAGGAGTTAGTATGGGTTCGTCGTGTACGGAGGCACTGCGCACCTACTTTCCCATTATATGTGAATTTGACACTTTACAAAATCGCTAACGTATATTTTACAACACAAACGACAACACTAACTTAAACTTAAATATTTACAAAGCCAGCAACCATTTCACCTCACTAACGACTTCGCTAACGAACTCACTAATGAAAAAATAAACGTTCTCATAAATTTTCTTCTATATCTTCATCGTCAATGTTAACCCTATTATAGTCATACTTGAAGTCATAAAGTTTCTCAAGTTTTGAAATGCATAGTCTTGTTAACTTACCTTCATCATCATAAGTTTTTATAAAACTACCATGACAATCTTTATACACAGTCAATGTATAGTCAACTGGTTTAGGATGAAGTGTAAAGAACATGTTATACTCAGGAAGGAAGAATAAATGTTTAAATGTATGTTTGTTATACTGTGGAATTTGTATGAGTTGCTTTTGTTCTGTCATTTATATAAAAATAAAATAAAAAATAAAATAAAAAATAAACTTAAAAATTAATGATATCACCACCCTCACACGTATGAAAACATAGCACAAAAATAAATTTAGGTGAAGTGGTGAGATCTCACCTCTTTTTTCACCTCTTTTTTCACCCTGTTGAATTCATTGCTTTATAACTCTCTTCCTTGGTTTCTTTTTAGTTGCTTTCTTCACGTCTGTCTCCAACTTGACTGTCTTTCTTCTTCGTCCGTAATGATACCAGTTACTTCCACCAGTCAATGGGTCAAATGGTCTTTCGTAAGGGTTTCCATACATTCCATAGGGACCATACGGAAGAACTACTAGTGGAGAAGAAACATTTTCTTTAGTTCCATCGACTCTATTTAAATGCATTGTTTCACCTTTCATCTGGTCATTAAAGTCTTTTGCGTGTTTTACAAACTCATCGTCCTTTCCTAAAGCATTTTCTGACTCAGTCGCAACCAAATTGGATGCTTTATTTATGAGCCCTATTTTATTTAATCTTAACTTCTTTGCAACCCAGCCTCCAATCTTTCCTTTATTTGCATCTAATGTCTTCGAAACCCTTCCTCCACTCATTTTATTTACTGCGTCATAAGCTCCAAGTGCTTTTGCTCCAAATGCTAATGCTTTTGTTCCCATTGCGCCTAAAGCTGCCCAAGCTACCATTTACACCATATTAAAATCATCTCTCTTCAATATTATCTCATAAAAGTTCTCGTTACTGGAGAAAGTCAATGAAACATAAGCGTTCTCACGGGCTTCGCCCTCACCGCTTTGCGGTCTATCTAACTTCTTTCTTATATCATCTATACGCTTCAAAATGTCTGAACAATTGCTAACATCTTCTACAACAGTTATCATGAATGACCTTCAAGAACAAGCTCATTTAATATGCTATTAAAATCATCTCAATAATGAGTCCATCCTTTCCATCTTTAGGTAGCACAACATCTTTCATTGAAGAAGGTTCGACAAGTCTTATGTTAAACTTACTGACAAAGTTTGTTATACTATAATGCTTTGGCGGCGAATACATGTAGTTTGAAAGACATAATATAGATTCTTCAGCAAATTCACTTATACTGGATTTTATAACAATGTTCTCACGAGACCAAATACCACCAATTGACAATCTTGTAAGCAATCCTGCTGAACCTTCAACTGTAAACGTCGATAGTAACATTCCACGAAGGTCATCTATTGACATCTTTGAGTCACTGAATTTAAATATTTTCTTAAAGCAATCGTCATTATCTAACCATGCAATAGCTTTGAAGTTTTCATTCGAATAGACATCTGCTTCATTAAATGTAAATCCTGACTTCTTTGCAGAGACGACTTTAAAATCTATTGAGTTTGTTTCAAAATTATATGCTATGGTAACTTCTGAAGGTAATGGATGCCCTTCCGCAGTCAGTTGTTCTCTCACTACCGTTTGAAGCTTTGTGTTAAAAACTTTCATGTCATCTCCTGTATCTAAGTTCACATACACAGCAACAGGGAAACTATCTTGCTTCTTTGTTTCATCATTATATCTCAAAACATTAAAGTTCTTCAATAATATTGTTCTTCCTGCTGGAATACTTCGAACCTGTCTGATTTCAATAGCTTTCTCACCTCCTACATACTCTACCCAGTGTCTTGGATATTCATAAGTATACTGACTTTCTTGAATTTTGGTAGGTTTCATCATAACGTGTTCATAGTATATCTTTATACTCTTGTCAGTTAGACTCGGTGCTATGTTCTGAATATTTCTGACTTGCATTTTTAATGGAGATAAAATGAAGCATTTAATACATGACGTAGATGAAGACATGAATGAAACTACAGACAAACTTAACTCTTCTCTTATTCTTCCTTTCAGTAAGGACTATGAGTTCTGTTCAAATGGTGTTTATTTCTATTGTGGAAAGATGGGTTCAGGTAAGACATTTAACCTCATTCGTCATATACTCATAACAGAACGTTTAGGAAACGACTCTTACTATGACCAAATCATTATATCAGCAACTTCAGACTCTATGGACTCAACAGCGAAAACATTTATGTCAAAAGTTCAAGCCTCTGTCGTTAAAGTTCCAGACAGTGAACTCATTGAATTTCTTCAACGTTACATTCGACGTAAGAGGAAATATTATGCCATCGTAGAGTTCATACAGTCAGGAATGCAAAAGACTTCTGAGGAGATGGAAAGAATTATTGACAAACACCACTTACGTCAATACTCAGGAGTTTACGATATGAAACGACTTACAAACTACATTCTATCAAAACTTTCAAAATACCCCTTCAAAAAGTATCCTTCAAACACTCTGCTCGTTTGTGACGACTTCGCCGGAAAAGGTTTAGTGTCAAAACCAGACTCACCATTAGCTAACATCATTACTAAAGTCAGACATTACCACTTAACTGTAGCAATACTTATGCAAACATGGCGTTTTCTTGCTTTAAACATAAAACGTCTCATAACTGACTTCGTTATCTTTCAAGGTTTCTCACGTTATGATATTGAACTCATTTGGAAACAGTCAGGTATAACATTACCTTTTGAAGAAATTTGGGAAGCATATAAGTCTCTCATCTCTCCTCGTTCATACCTTGAGATTCATATCATGACTAATACCATTAAAGTCAAAAATATTCCATGGGAACGACCAACATTGTTTTAAAGTTTAACCTTCAATTGACTGATGGTAAACAAATTCCATGCATCTCTGTCGCCATTTCTGTTAATATTTTTGCTGTCATTCATATCATCCACTTCCCCATCCGTTAGCTTTTGAGGATATGCGTTAGAATAGCTGTTCTTAAATGAAGGCTTTTCACCTTTGAGAGCATAAACTCTATAACTTTCTGCATACTTTATGTTTGAACCTCCTGAGCCATCATTGACATAAATTTTTATAGGCTTCCACCCTTTGTTCATGTTCCTGCTTCTTCCCTTAGCTCTTTTGTTCAGTAGTTCTACATCTTTATACACAGCTCCTGTCTCAGTGAATTCAACAATATTTTCATTCGTTAGCTTTACATTCAAACCCTTGTCGAGTATATTGTTCATTTCATACATATAAAAGGTTTTTATTCTATATGAAATGAGAAGCAAATCCATCTTAGCTGGTGCCGTTAATGTTCCAATTGAACCAACATCAAATGTTGACTCACGAACGACAAACAATATTGTCATAAAGAACTATAGTTCAGAGTGTTTGAAAGAACCAGAACCAGAGCTGAAATCCGTGAATTTAAACTCAGCTTCAAATGCTAACGCTACATCAGATGTTAAGTTAGAGTATCCACCACTGGACCAAATTCTTTCAAGAGAAGCCAACGACAATCCTTACACAAATGTTCAAACAAATCCTTCAGATAACGTAGACCATTACCTTCTTCAGTTATACCAAACAATTTTACTCAAAGACGATAAGAAGCTTTTGGTAAATCTTATAAGCAAGAACCAAATAATTCTAACAAAGGAGGACCTTGAAAATGTTATATCACGAATAACAGGGAAACAATGTGTCATTGACTATCTCGACCCTGAAATCGAATGCTGTGGTCAAACGCCACCATTCATGAAATAGGTAACATCCGCATCATTGAAACACCAGGAACTACAGGAGTTGAGTTTAAGTATAAATATTCGAACGAGTATACAAAACTTTCAACAGAATATAAACTTTGCTTGAAATATGTTTTAGTAAATTAAAGCAATTTGTAATATCTATCCAAAACTTCTTCAACAGTATCGAACTCATCTTCATAATGCAAACCTAATCTTATTGACTTGGTGCAGTTTTCACTAACACAATATTTTTCTGTTCTCTTGACTGACATAACTAACTCATTTGTTTCATCAAACAGCAACAACCAAAGTTCATGACCTAATACATAACATTCATACTTTATATTTTTAGCTCTGAGTTCTCTTGTAAGCTGTTGCATTTAATATTTTCTAAAAAGTCAACTTCAACAGTCATTCGCACTGGTGCTTCAGTTCTACAGGCTCTCCTTGAAAGTCAACAAGTCTGAATTGCATGTCTTTCAAATTATGAGGACTAATGCGAACCCATTTACCTAAATGAGTTGCTATGACAGGAACGTTTGGAATGAACATTGAATTGACTGCATAACAGAAGGATTTATATTCTACTGAACCTTTACTATTAACTCCTGAAATGCCTGTGACATTAGCTATTTTAGACTCAATGTATAAACAATTACCATAACATACGTATGGAACAGATTTCATCTCAATCGTTTTGTCAACACTTTTCAAAGGAAATGTCATATGGTATGCACCCAAAAGAAGTTGTACTCTATGACTCATTCTGTATCTTAAACTCCTTCGCATAACTGAACTTCAAAACTCCTGCAATAAGTTTAACATTCATTAAGTTTTCTTCGTTATCCTTGTTTATTGTAGTATTTATGAGAGCATTTAACACTCCAGCTAATGTTTCCATCTTATATTCTACATTATTGTGAAATCTTATTTCGTGCTTCTTTCCATCTATTTCAATCTCCATGAAATCTGTTTCATCTGTTATAACGAATGAAGCGATAGTATTGAAGTCAACCATTCTGAATGCAAGCGCCTCATTCTGTAGACCTAAGTTTGTTTGTAGCTTTACTGTCCCGTATTCGTTTGGGTCTGTACTTTGCAAATAGAACAACATTTTATTCTCATTAAAATATGAGTATAGCTGCATATGCGTATGAAGCTGACAGAGCTAAACGTTTATATTTTGGTCAATACTCTCTCACACTTACTGACAAATATATTGTTATCTGATGGAAATACTGAGAAATACATAACATGGAAGGACTATGAAAAGTTTGACCCTATTTTAACTCCATGTACTATGCCATTCATTGTAAATGGTGAAATCGTCATGAAGAACGACACAACTGTTTATAGGTCTGTATATGAAGCTCTTGAAAGCATTCTTAACTTCAATCCTTCAGGGTTCGATACAAAAACAACTCCTTCGACAATGCCATTCATTGTAAATGGTGAAATTGTGTCAAAAAATAATGAAACAGTGTATAAGTCAGTGTATGAGGCGCTGAACTATATGCTTCATTTCAATCCTTCTGGTTTTGACCCACAAATAACTTCATGTACTATGCCATTCATTGTAAATGGTGAAATCGTCATGAAGAACGACACAACTGTCTCAAAGTCTGTTCGTGATATTTTAGACTACTTGCTTCATTTGGGTCCTACAGGATTTGACCCATATACAACTCAATGTCAAGTACCATTCATAAACGACTCAGCAGAAATAAAACTCAAAACGTCAACAGTAGATGAAGCAATTGCTGACTCATTGACAAAACTTCTTGATATAATAATGAGGTTCAATACATTCAAAACAACATATGAAACCTTTAAGAAAAATTATGACGATTTCTTTAAAATTACATACATCGAGCCTTCTGCTCCTCAAACACCAGACTATGCATGCCTTAAAATAAAGGCTGCACGGACACAAGTTAGAACATTGACTTTTGACGGAGATAATATCGTTAGAGACGTTACACCTGGAGACACATTACTTACGAAAGAATACTTAAAAAGTCATATCAGTGATTTTGTGAAAGTAGAACAAAGTGGAGCAGGTAAGAGTTGGTTAGGGTGGTTGTTTACTTTATTTTCATCAGGTGTAACAACTGCATCTCTTATAACCATGCAAAGTGAGATAGATGCACTCTGGGCTTTTCTTGGTGGCATAGATAGCATGAAGTTTTATGTTGAGTTTGCTAAATTACATGGAAATACAGGAAGTTTCTTTGACGGTCTCAAAAATTTATGGGGTAAAGTAACATATAATACAAAGAAACTAACTAACTGGGCACTCAAACGTAAAAATATGTTCGACGGACTTGCTTACAACCCTCGTCTCGGAATTATTGAACCAATTAATTTACATCCTTTAATGGCAGCAAGAGATTTAGATGAAGGAGGACAAGTGGTTCAAACAATTGTTGAAAATCTACTGAATATATATCCTGAGTTTAAAGAAGTTTTAACAGCAACAAACACAACAATTCGTGAAAACTGTATAGTGTTTAACACTGAAGATAATATTTTAGACTATATGTTCGTTGTTTTAGGTCAGTTAGCTAAGACAATAAAAGAGAAAGGTATTGACTCAGTCATAACAGTTGAAGATGTAATGTTAAGAAAGACTTTTGACTCATTGTTTCAAGAACCAAAAGAAGTAGTTAGTCTTTATGAAGTTTTGAACGCAATGCTGACAAAAATAAATGAAAGTGACACTGGTAACATAAGTGAAGCAAAAGTTGTTGAACTTCTTTCACAAAAAGCAGATAAAAACCACGTTCATTATATAACTTCAGACGAACAGATTATAACGGACTACCATGGATATTTAACACAAAGTGATGAAGCGAAGACAAAAAATGTTAATGAAAGAAGATATAAATACATTTGTGCTAAAGGTTATGACATAAGCTGTACTGTACAGTATGATGTAGCTAAAGCACCAGAAGCATTTGGTTATACCGGTGAAATTTATGCCTCTACTTTCAATGTTAACGGTGTATTAGTTGAACCAAGATTTACATTGAGAGTTAAAGCAAAAATAACTTTTGAAGATGTTATTAAAAGTAAAGCTGACAAAGTTGAACTCGAAGCAATGAACAAAGTTTTGAAATCTCATAAACACAACATCTCCGATATAAATAAACTTCTTCTGAAAGCAGATGTTGACAACAAAGCTGACAAAGAATATGTAGACGATGCAATAGCAAAAGAAGAAGAAAGAGCTAACAATGCTTATGCAACAAAAGAACATACTCATCCTGAACTAGCAGACAAAACATATGTTGACAATAAAATGTCAAGTGAAGTGACAAGAGCTGAAAACGAATATTCTAAAAAGACTCATATACATTATATTAACCAAATACCAAGTCTTAAGGAAACATTAGAGACAAAAGCAGATAAGACTCATACACATTCTATATCTGATATTACAAACTTACAAGAAACCTTAAACAGTAAAAGTGACGTTGGACATACACTACATCTTCTGAAATAACAGATTTAAACGTTAGCCTTGAAAAGAAAGCAGATAATACATATTCAATGAAATATACCAAAGTTTGATAGAACAACAAAAAATATTGAAACTATTGTTGGTGACTTTTCTGTCAATGAAGAAAATAAATATTTTAGATGGCAGTTGGTACAGTCCTTAAAAATGGTACACGGCATAAACTCATTCCGAAAAATAACAATGAAATGTATGTAAGCTATAAAAAGAATGATGGTACACAAGTTAAAGTTCCATTAGACAACAACTGCTACTTAAACTTATATGGAGACGAACAAAAGAAATATTTAAGAGTTTATGAAATGGCAGATATGACATTGCCTGACCCAGCTCCAGCACCACATTATTATGACTATGGAGATGATGACAGAACACCACATGTAGATGAACAAAAGCTAACATTATATTTATATTATTATAGATATAAAAGATATAATGCAATAGAAAAAACGAGAATAGTATATTATTATACAGATGACAGAAATAAATATTATAGTCAAGATTTTACCTACCCTGAAAACATAAGATTATATTATAAAAAATATTCTGACACAAACCAGAAGAAACCTGAAATAGTTGCACTATATTTTAAGTTCAAAAGAGACAATCCTATAATATCTCATATGTTTGATTTAATGAACCCAGTAGGTTCTATTTATACATCTATGGATGCAAGAGGTCCTCAAGTAATGTTTGGTGTTGGTGCATGGGAACAAATAGTCGACAGGTTTTTGTATTGTGCAAACTCTTCAAAGGAAACAGGTGGAAGTAAAACGATTTCAGGTGAAAATTTACCTGCACACAGTCACTACATAGATTTAAGTACATCTCAAGCAGGTTGGCATAAGCATAGATATTGGGATTGGTCAGGAATGACAAAAGGTAAAGGATATGATGTTAAAGACGAGGTTAAGTTTGCTATAAATTGTTACTGGAGTGACACTCAGGGAGAAGGAAACCATACACATTTCGTTTCAGGATATACGCAAACAACGGGACAAAGTAAAGAATACATGCCACCTTACATGACAGTTTACGCATGGTATAGAGTTCAATGAACTCGCTTGAGCCTAGAATAAAATCTTTAACTTTACACAAATGAGCTTGAAAGAAGTATTCGAACAACATCCATGGAGGTCATTTAAGAAGTTCAATGAAGCTGCAAAGAGTTGGGGATTTACTAACAGAGCTGAAGTGAAAAGGTTCTTTGACAAAAATGTTGTACATCAAACAAAAATAAACCCTTACGACTACTTTTTACCAATTTACTCCAACACTCCTGACGCATACCAATTTGACACTCTCATTCAAAGCAGAAAAGGAGGACATAAACCATTCCTCATCTTCATTAATGTTAACACTCGTAAAGCTTTTGCGTATATAATGAAAAATAAAGGAACTCGTGAAGTGTTAAGAGTTTTACAAAAGTTTGTAGCAGAACATAGCCCAAGTACTTTAACATCAGACCAAGACAGTGCATACCTCAGCAATGAAATCACAGATGTTCTCATTAAGCATAACATAACTCACTACACTACTGAAGACCATAACCATAACATACTCGGCATCATAAACCGCTTCATAAGAACGCTCAGAGATTTAAACCAAGAGCGAGACTTTACCGAAGAAACAATGAAACATTTCATCGAAGTTTACAATTCCTCAACACATTCTACAACAGGGCATACACCAAATTCAATGACACAACAACAAGAAGAAAAGTATATACAAAAGAAACGAAGCCAAACACAAAATATCAGAAATTCAACACAATTTACCCTCATTCCTGGTACAAAAGTTCGTGTAGTTCTTGACGACAAACCGTTGACAAAGAAACGTTTAAGGTTAAGTAGAAACTATTATATCGTAGACTCTACGCAAGGTAATGGATATCTTATAAAAGCTGCTGACGACTCCATAGCATTTTACCCTCGTCACAAATTAGTCGAAAGTAGTAATGGCAAACTTGCTGAAACCATTGACGAAGCAAAGCGAGGAGTGGTTATTGAAATACTTGGCTACAACATAAACGATGACACTTATAAAGTAAGATATGAAGGAGGCGTTGAAGATGTTATACCATCTAAGAACTTGAGAGAGTCAAAGCCAACACATCTGGGACTATTAGAGCGGGAGTACTGGAAAGACAAAAATAAGCTAGAAAGAATAAGAAAATTCTTCTAAACTTTTTCATTAGATGTAAATCAGACATGAATGAGAACAGTCATGATATCATTAATGGTACCATTTATTTTTGTCATAAATTTACACCAAAAATATATTTTAGGTGAAGAGGTGAGATCTCACCCGTTTTCTCACCCTGTTGAATTTTCATGAATTTCCTTAAGATAGAAAAATAAAGTTAGTTTTAAAATTATTTATGGTGTTTGAAGAGCGGTTATTCCATAGGGACCTTTTCCATTAATGCTTGCACCATGCGAAAGAAGAAATTCGATTGTTTCTTTTCTATATTTTTTATTTTGTATAAAAGATATGATTTCAACAATCGGCACAACAACAATTCAAGCCACGAACGGCGGGACTCTGTCCACAACTACAGCACCAAACTCGCTAGTCATGAATCCTACGTCAATGTTGGTAGAGATGAAAAGCTTTATTCCTTCTTCATATACTTTTGAAACAGAAATCCAGAAGATAAAGCAAGAACTTTTAACATGTAATTTAGACTGTAGTGCGAAAGATGAAACAAATGAACAGTATCTTTATGAAATGGAGGACCTCATCGACCATTTGCCTAAACTACCTGAAATTCAGCAGCAAAAACTAACTATTCCTGAATTCGACGAAATTGAAGTCAAAGCAACTGACTCAGTAGAAATTAAGAAATTCATACGTAAAGTAAATTATGAATTCCTTGGTTTTCATTGCAACCATAAAGTTATGGACAAAGATTGCGACATGGTTTATAAAAATATTTCTGACCTTTACAAATCCGAAGAATTTAAGACATACGATAACTTTGTTTCATTAGTTGCAAAATGTGTATGGCAGATAAGAGATAAAGATAGAAGAGGTAAGGTATGGAATGAACAGATAAAACCAGCAGCTTTTGAGTTAAAGAAAACCATTGACGCCTTAGTTGTTCTAGCTGGTTTTATTTCAATGTATAACGCAAAAACGATGCCGCAATGTTCAAAATGTAAAGCAGCAATAAGAAAATATAACTACTCAGTCAAAGAGATAGAAAGAATGCGAAACGACTATGCAGACTTAAAGAAAGAAGCAGAAAAGCCAGCAGAAGATAAAATGGATATGTTGACATTTCTTAATAAAAACTATCCAACAGCAGAAGATTTCCTTCTATCTGACGTCAAGAAGAAATATAAAGAAACCTTCGGCATTGTTAAAACTTTTGATACTAGAAGAAATAGAAGCTACGAAATTGTTTAGGATTTCAAATATACATCGTACAATTCATGTAAAACGCTTGTGAAAAAAGAGGTGAAAAATTAGGTGAAAAAAAGGTGAGATCTCACCTCTTCACCTCAACATTATTTTTAATGAATTCAGCACAAAAATAATGAATTTCATTAGTTATTTTGTATGTAAAGACAGTAATGACAAACATTGAGTTTGAAACAGTTAGAAAGATAGACAATGACACCAAAGTGGTTAGAATAGGTGATTTAAACGTAAGATACTCAAAGAAATACAACAAATATTCTTTGTCAGACATTATATCTCCATCTGGAAAGAAAACAAACGACTGGGTTAGAAATGCTTCAACTCAGAAAATTTTGACAAGAAATCCTGAGCTTATGATATCAGTAGCATTTCATGGAACAAGAGCATATCTTATAGACAAAAGTCTTATACCAATAGTTTTGTTATGGTTAGACCCAGTTGTTGGATATAACTTCATAACATATGGTTCATTCGATACGGAACGTTGCAGTGAAGGCTTACTTTACATCGTTCAGAAACCGAAGGACTTCAACACAAAAAGATATAAGATAGGAAGGACATATAATATAACTCAAAGATATGACAGTACAGTCAATAGAGTCAAGGTTGTGTTTGTTAATGATATGAGAGCTGCTGAAACAGAACTGCTTGAAGTTTTTGAGAAAATGTATGGTGCTCCCACGAAAGGTAAAGAAACGTTTGAAGTAGATGAGATAGATAAAGCTATAAAATTATTTGACGAAGTTGCTGAAAAATACATGTAAAGCGTTTATTTTTGGTCTTTTGTGAAAGTCAGAAAATAAAGTTAGTTTTATTTTTATTTATTTTTTTATTTTGTATGTAAAGACAGTAATGACAACATCAGAGAACACAACAACAGTTATAGTCCATGAAGCTATAAATGAAGAATACGAATACATACAGTATAACAAACAACTTCGCTCATTCGTTCGGTCAAAGATGACATGTACCAAATGCAAAGTATAATGAATGCTCTTCGTTCTACAAAGCAAGCATATCATTGGTTTGAAAACCAACAGACAAAAGAACTTTTAGAAGAATTTCCTCATATGATTGCTTCCCTCGGAAAACCGAGAGAAGAGATTCCGTACGAAAATCGCAAGAATTTGGCTCCTGGTTTGAAAGGTTATTATGTTCATAGACTTTTAGTAAACGCTGTAGCAATGTGGGCTTCACCTCGTTATGCTTGTTATATTTTCATGATGTTAGATGAACTATATAAAGCAGAACGTGGAGAGATGGAAAAGAAACTTCAAGCAAAAGATGAAGTCATTGAATCCAAAGACAAAAGCATACAGAAAAGAATACCGCGTTCGGTACCAAAAGGAAAGGAAAAGAGTTATAAGTATATGATATATACTGAAGAGTTGGAGAAAGAAGAAGATAAAGATGTGGTTATGTTGCATTTAGTCAGAAGAAACAACAAGAGCTTTTATGACTTAGCTAAAATATATAAATCTGACAGAAACTGGTTCTATCGTGAAAACTTACCGATTTCAATGACACCGAATGAGCAAATAAAGGAAATTGTCAAAAATACTCTTCCTCAAACACACTATGACATCAAAGGTTGCACAATACTTACATTCAAAGAAGACTTAACATTACTGAAGGAAAAAATAACAGAATATTTCGATAACTTCAAAGAGGAAGAATAAAAAAATCTAAGCTAATTTTATTTTTTTTATAAAATTTTATCTCATATGAAAGAACATGAATTTAGAATATTCGGAACTCATGACAGAAGAAGAGAACGAACAACATGTAAAAGATTATGCAAAATTTCTGAAGACATACAAAGCATTTAAACAATATCTAAATGCTTCTAAAGATTATGCAAAATTTCTGAAGGTATATAAAGCTTATGAAAAAGCGTATGAAAAGTTTATACATTGGGGAATTGTTGTAAAATATCGATATGAAGACTAACCAAAAATATATTTTTGCTTAAATAGCTTCAGGGTCTATTTCTTCAACCATTTCACTTCCTTCGTCAATGTCAATAGAAGCTTCTTCAACCTTTGGTAAGAATTTCTGTATAACATCTTTGTTCGTTATTGTCTTCAGAGATGAAGGATAATATTTCACATTTGTTTCACCCTTCTTATATTCTTTCTGTTCGGAAAGATTTAAAGCAATACTGAAGAAGTCAATTAGAGTTCTTTATACAGTATAATGAGTATCTTTGACATTCACGAAGAAACTCTTTTGTTTCAAAACTACTGCTAACTCTTGTGAAGTATAACGTTTGCGGTCAATGACGATAGCTAATGGTCTGACATACTGACCAAACTTAGATTCTTTCACAAACTTCTTGTTAAAGATAACATTAACATTTGAAGCATTATTGAACTCATTCTTGATGGCAGTAGCGAGAGCATTGTATGAAAAGAACTTGCAATCTTGCATGTGTTTCATTAAAATAAAAATATTAAATTATTTTGAAAAATAACTTAAAAAAATCTAATCTAATTTTTTCAAAAAATATTTTTTTATTTCCTACTAAAGATGTATCGGAAGTTGTCTAAGTTAGAACACTCGGAAATAAAACAACTTCTTACAGAAGCTAACATAGAAGTAGCAAAATTACGCAACAAACAAAAAAGCACTCGCTGACTTCATTAAAGACTATAATGGTGCAATAAGTTATGATAGAATTCATGAGTTCATAAAGCCGCAACGCGGCGAGGACGAAGTCCATGCAAGAGCATTTCCTTTAAATGACGTTGCTATTGACTTATATCATAGACGTTCAGTACCTCATGAAGTAAGAAGAGAAATGTTTGACATAACAAATGCAAACGTTGGTGAAACAAGAAGAAGAGACGACACACTGAAACAACAGAGAAGAGAGATGTTTAAGAGCGCTATAGAACAAGTTCGCAAAGCTAACGATGTCATTCGTTCCATTGACGACAAACCAAAAGAAGGTGAGAGATGGTTAAAGAAAGATGAAGAGAATAGGAAGAGAAATGTGAAGTCAGGCAATAGACTCATTGACTTTAACATCGAAGCTTTAGATGAACCAAACAGAGACTACTTACACAAACATTTCGGTAAGGTTTTCATGAGACTCTTAGAGAAAATTAAAATAAACTCACAACAGAGATGGATGGTATGTTATAAACTTGGTGGAAAGTATGAATGTTCTACGTTAAACCTCAATAATATTGGAACATTACTACATCAGCTCTTGAAGGAGAACTTTATATCAGAGATAGAAGCAAATGCTGCAGGTATTGTTGAAATGCACTATGACTTCTTCTTGACAAACATAAAGAATCTTACTGAAATAAAGATGTATGATTTAACAGAATATGAAGGCTTAACGATGTCAGATGTAAAGAAAGGCAAACCAAAAAAGAGACCATATAGAGATGAAAGCACACTGACAAATGACCAGAAAGCCATTTTGGAAGCTCTTAAGCAAACAGGAAACCCAGCACTTATAGAAAGCTTTTGGAAAGATAATGGTGAAAAGAAGTTTTATAAGAAGAGAAGCGGTCAGTTCTGGAAGTATCTTTGCACATTACCTATAAATCTTGAACGCTACCAAATCTTCAATGAACTGAACAAAAGAACTGCAACACTTATGACAGAAGACAATTGTTTCGTTTATGCTTGCATTCAGGCTGGAGTAGATGGAGAGACTATTGACCACATGAGAGAAGTCATTCGTGTTAGAGACTTTCCTCAAAGTAAAGTACAAGAAATTTCTGACGCAACAGGTATAGCATTTAATGTTACCATTGGTTATTCAATGACTCAAGACATAATGAAATAAAGAGATACATACCAAAAGAATGTGAAACTGTTCGAACTATTGACTTACTTCTTGTTGAAGACCACTACATGCTAAATGAAAGATTACCAATGACAACATATTTCATTCGCAACTATATAGAAATCTTGAAGGAGTGTGGTGGAATGAACATTGAGAAACAAATGAAGATTTATACAAAGAGAGAAATAAATATGTAGTTCGTTATGATAGAACAACACCGTTATGGGATGTTATGAAAACATTGTGGGAGTGCAAATATTTCGAACCTATTTCTTATGGAGAACTTTTCACATATACGACTGACTTATATAAACAGAACCTTGCACCATTTAAAGATTTGACATATGCTCCAAAGTATTGTGTACAACTGAAGAAGAAAGCCGAGTCAAAAGAAGTAAATAAAAATAAGTGCAAGTTCATTCCTGAGCACGTTTTCTTTGCTGACTTTGAGTGCAGTACGATGGCTTTCATAAAGCTTTTAACATCTGTTATGACAGTGAAGATGGTTCAGTGAGTGAAAGCATTTGGGGTCAGAACTGTGCAACAGAATTTTTGGAGCGACTTCCTGACAAGAGTTTAATATATTTCCATAACCTCAGTTATGATATAAACTTCATCTTAAGACACATGACAGAAGTGAAAGGAACTCCCATCATTAAAGGTTCACGAACAATGCAAATAACTGGCTTATATAAAGGAAGGGCAATTATTATAAAAGACTCTTACAGTGTTATAAATAAGAAGCTTAAACTATTTCCTGCTATGTTTAACTTACAAACAGGACCGAAAGAAGTATTTCCATACAACTACTACAGCAGTGTTTTGTTAGCAAATGACAACAGAACTGGTGTCATTTCTGAAGCATGTAAGTTTATCCGGGATGCAGATACATTCATGAAAAACATAGATTCCATCAAAGGTTGCAGAATAGATGAGAACCACTTCGACTTAGAAAAGTATAGCACATTTTATTGCAAACAAGATGTAAGAATTTTAAGAGAAGGTTTTGTTAAGTTCCGCAATGACATATTGAAAGAGTTTGATTTAAACGTTTATGACTACGTTAGTATTTGTTCTATTGCTAACAAATTGTTTGAGAACAGAGTGTACTTCCCGAATGGAAATTTATATGACCTCTCAAATAAACCAAGAGAATTTATTTCACGCTGCATTCAAGGTGGAAGATGTATGCTGTCAGATAACATTAAACAAAAGAGCGAAAAGAAACTCATTGCTGACTTCGACGCTGTTTCATTATATCCATCCGCTATAGCAAGACTTTATACTTTAGAAGGTATTCCAAAGGTTATGAAGAAAGAAATGTTAAGCACAGAGTATCTCATGAGACATTTATTCGATGACGACCAAAAGGAACCCATTGGTGAAAAGTTTGTGTCTGGCTTCTTTGTTCTCATTAAGATAACAGAGATTTGAATACATAGACACTTTCCTTTAATAGTTTGTGACCCTGAACTAAATCCAGAACTTAACGTTCCCAGAAGTTCAAACACTTGCTGTTTAATGTATGTTGACCATATTGTCATAAGACGAAATGGTGGAAGTGAGGTGAAGTCAAAAAGTGACATCTATTTGGCCGGCTAAATTCCCCTTTAGTTTACATGTCAAAATTACAATAAATTAATTATTTTGCTTAGCAATTAGCTATGTATTAAAACTAAAATTATTACTATTCAATTCTTTACATTCAAATATTAAACAATTCAAATTTAATAACAAAGATATTACAATAAATAAAAAAATGATTAAAAATGTCCCTGAAAATTTTCTGAAAGCTATCTCGTGTTTAGGTCTCAATTTTTTTAGAAATAGAAAAAGATTGGATTTAACTTTCAAACATTATATATAGTTTTGTATATGGAAGCCTTTAAATACAAGTTAATGATATGGAGTTGTATTGCGAGGAAGAGGGAATCAAAGAAATTGACGAAGTTCCAGAATTTTATTCAACAATTCTTAATCAATTAACAAAAACTATACCGAAACTTATCTTACCATCCAAATCAAATCACATTACATACGGAATAAACATTTAATCTTTTACCATTAAAATTATATTTATACGTTATTTAATTTTTTTACGTCTAAGTTGAATAGGATAATAGCCGAAGATATAAAGTAACTATAGTTTACAAGCTAAGGAACAAATCAGCATTGAAACTAAAAAATGCTGAAATATTATAATAAATTGAAGAAATACTGTGATAGAATACCTAGTTATACTAGATACTATTATAATATGAATTCATTTATATTGAATATCGATAATAAAAAATCGATGAAATATTAAAATGAGAATAAATTAATAATGAGATTATAGATTAGAATTATTTCTCTTTTATTTAAAATAAAAACTTAGTTCTATTTAAATTCGATAAAGAAGTACGAAAAAGTTGTATTATACGTATGATGTTGCCCGATGTTTGGAAACAATATTGTAGAATATAAGCATATATGATAGAAAAGCAATATGCTTAATATCGAGTAATTCTAATTTTTTACGAAATTATTCAAATACGTTATTTTTTAGTTTCAATGCTGATTTGTTCCTTAGCTTGTAAACTATAGTTACTTTATATCTTCGGCTATTATCCTATTCAACTTAGACGTAAAAAAATTAAATAACGTATAAATATAATTTTAATGGTAAAAGATTAAATGTTTATTCCGTATGTAATGTGATTTGATTTGGATGGTAAGATAAGTTTTGGTATAGTTTTTGTTAATTGATTAAGAATTGTTGAATAAAATTCTGGAACTTCGTCAATTTCTTTGATTCCTTCTTGAAGCGTTGAAATTTCTTATTGACTCTCTTTTTATAACTTTTGAAAGAAACCGTAAAAATTGTGAAACATGCTTTTTAATAAAAAACAATTTTGATGAAAACCATAAATTAATTTAAAATTGAAATAAATTTTTGAAATCTATGATATTGAATAAAAAAATTTATAGTGTAGATATTGATATAGATATAGATGTTAATTTTAATATGATATTTGATAAATTTTTTTTATCAAAACATACTGATAATAGGTTGACATGTAATATGATATTTTGCCTTGTAAATATATTTGGTCGGCAAAATAACCTAATTACTCTTATTTTGAGTTCACTTCCACCATTTCGTCTTATGATAATATAACATTACAAGACCTCATAAAATATCAAGGTGTCAAATGTGAAGTGTTGCAAGGATACTATTACGATGGAAACAGAGATATTAGAATAAGAGATGAATTAAAGAAGTTGTTTGAGTTAAGGTTAAAGTATAAGAAAGAAGGAAATCCTTTGCAAGAAAATATAAAGCTCATTCTGAACAGTATTTATGGCAAAACTATTATATCTCCTATTGAGTCAAAAATAACCATAGTAAATGACAAAGATGCTATAAGATATGCCATCAGAAACTACAACCATATAGTGAAGTTCGAAGGTTTGGATGGTTCAGATAAAACTATTTTCAAGCTAACGAAAAGCATTTGCAGACACTTTAACTTCTGTCCACTTGGTGTTAACATTCTGTCTATGTCGAAGAGAATAATGTGTGAAGTATTCTGTACTGCTGAGGACTTAGGAATGAACATCTTTTATAGCGATACGGACAGTATGCATCTCTACAATGAAAATATCCCTCGTTTAGCTGAAGAGTTTGAGAAACGTTATGGAAGAGTTCTCATTGGTAAAAACCTTGGTCAATTTCATAGCGACTTTGCAGAAATCACAAAAGATAAACAAAGTTTAGCATACAAGTCAATATTTTGTGGAAAGAAGACTTACATAGACTTACTCACGAATGATTTAAATGAAGTTGCATTTCACTGCAGAATGAAAGGCGTGAAGCAAGATGTTATTGCTTTAACCGCTAATGAAATGTTTCCTGACTCTGTTCAGTGTTTCTATGATGAAGATAAAGGTTTAATGGTTCCGCAAGGAACATATGACAAAGACTCTGAGTTCAGTTTAATGAAACTTTACAAAGCACTTTATGACGGTCAAGAGATTGGATTTGACTTATGTAAGTCTTCTAGTCCTTGCTTTGCTGAAAAGTTTAACTTCTCAATAACGACTAAAACAAGCTTTATTCGTAAGTTGAAGTTCTGAGGTCATTTATTTTTGTCAGCAATGAGGTCATTCGTGATAAAAATAAAACTAGCGGCAAGGGCGAAGCCCATGTGGTCATTTACAATACTGCGATGGTAGAGTTTAAGAGTTGTGCTTCAATGTAGAGACAGTCCTTATGGTCTGGAGGTAAGAACACTGGGCAGTTATGGTCATGAGTGGAGAACATGTCTATCCAAAACTCACGATTGAAGCCAGTTAATTTATAGTATTTAGGGTTAGGAAGTGGTGAAGTTCTTGTATGACCAATGAACTCATTTTCAACTCCCTTACTTAAGTTTGAATATAATATAGCTTGCTTTCTATCCCAAATACCTGGAAATCTAATTTCGGAAAATTCATTTTTCCTCGGAAGCATTGCATCATAATTGAAAACATTCTTGAAATCATCACTTGGTTCAGAGATTTGAAATCTTATACTTAATGGATTTTTTTCTTTTTAGCTACTTCATTGAATGGTGAGAATACAATGAATTGACAGTCATGAGTTCCATCAGCATTTGCTACAAACTCGTAATGAAAAGCTATTAATCTTTCTACAATTCCTTCTTCTTTCAGTTGTGCAAGAAACTCACGTAAAGGCTGTAAAGTTTGTCCTTCAATGTTAAACTTCTTTTGAAAATTTTCGTAAAATGTAATTATACAGTCTTCTAACGTCGTACTGTCATTGAAGTATTTGTATATGTGAATGTTTTGGGCGCTTAAAGATTGTTCGTCATTTTCTATCTCGACTTGAAGTATAAAGTCAACCTTTCTGAAAGCATGTGTTATATACATAGATGTTATGCCAATGTACTTCTCTTCATTTATGTTCACAATCCAGTCTGTTGGAAACTTAAACGTTACTCTGTTCCCCTTTATTTTGACGTCAGGGTTTTCACTACTGAACGCAACAGATAAAGGTATTTGTCTATACATTTAATTCGGATAAAAATAAACCATTTACTCTTTCTTTGCTTCAGCTTCTTTAGCTTTTGCTTCAGCTTCTTCTCTAGCTTTCTTCGCCAGCAAACGTGGGTTCTTTTGTCTTCCAGCAGCTAATGCAGCAAGTTGTTTTTCACTAAGTTTTCTCTTTGGTCTCTCTGGCTTTTGTTTTTGTTTTTGTTCCTTCAGTTCGGATAAAATTTGCTCACGAATTTCTTTCTTCAATGCTTCAACATCTATGACCCCTGGGTCTTGTCCGTAGGGCTTGTCTGAGTCATTTGACTGCAGATAAAAAACAAAATTAAAACTTTAACCGATGTAAAATGAGCTTGTCAAAATCAGAGCGAGAGTCTATTATATTAAATGACGCAAGAGGAATACAACATCCTTTCTATTACGTAAGTCAGAGTAAAGATGGTAAAATATACGTAAGAAAAAGAAAGGTTCCATTAGCGAATGCAGAAAGCGACAACATTAAGGTGTATGGTAAGGGTGAAGTCCACGAAGCCCATATAAAACCTTCTGTTCAAACTGAAAAGTCAATAGAACCAGAAGAAAAAAAGCCAGATGTACTTTCAATAACGAACCAAGAGCTTATTGCAAAGTTCGTGAATTTCATTGAAAAACAAACCGAGTCAAAGAATCCTGACCCGCCAGTGAAAGAAGTTGAGACAAAAGAGAATGTACAGTTCATTGAAAATATCAAGAAACAACTTCCACCACGAATGCCAAGAAGAAGAGTGAGAATAATGAAGTAAATAGATATTTTTATCTGAAGTAAATACATGCAGAACGAACAGTTAAACGAATTTACTCCAGCAGAGCATATTCATCAGATTCGCTCATATTTCGATATCATAGACAATGCAGTTCAAATTGGTGACACTAATAGAAAATATTCTGACGCAAAGATTCCATCACAACCTGGAACTGCTAAAGATAACACATGGGTAACATTCAATCTCTCACCTCCTGGTGAAAATATGTTGGACCTTTACAATACATTCATTACGTATAAAATGGAAGGTCAATTTATTGTAGATAAAGAAATTGGTTCAGGTTCCAATAAAACAAACCCACCAGGATTTTGGATTGGTTTCGATGACGCTTTCTATGAAGTTGCTGGATATCAAATCCTTGCAAATGGTCGTATCGTATATTCTCAAGACAACGCAAGAGAAGAAGCATATATAACTTCAAACTCACAAACTACCGAACAAATAAAGAAAGTAGATGTTTTCTCAAAGACTCGACATGAAGATGTATGGAGTCATTCGGGAACATGCAGAACAGGACAAATTGTTAGTGGTCCAATTACAGCAGGAAAATCATTTGATTTTAAGCTTCGTTTAAGAATTCCTGTTAGAAGATTC